TGTGTTTCATTTGTATAATTAGCATCTCATGAACATGAAATGTAAAAATTACAGGAATTTCACAAGTCATACAAAATTGTCAATTTCAAATTTCACAAGGATGTCGATTTTCAAAGTCATCCATAATCAGTGATGAAGTTTTCGGTGGAATTGTTTCCCCTGTTGGGCCTCAAAAACATCACTGCCATGAAAGGTCTCTAGTTAGTGGGCTGGATTCCAGTGTAGGCACAACTTGTCAATCCATTGTTAACTTGTTGAATTTGGGATCCAATCCATGGAGATGCCCAGATACTTGGAATGATGTTTCAACGGACACGCATCTGATGACAATGGCGACCCTAAAATCAGAGATGTCATATGTATTCCCCAACAATCTTCAGCAGCGGAATTACTTCAGCATAACGGGGCCGCATCAATCTGCCGTCATCTCTAATTCTCAAAATCTCAGTTTTTTTTATTCCAGCTAATGGTTAGATAAATTTCGTCTAATTTTCTTAATTAAAGGGCTAAAATTTTGAGCATGAGAGAATAGCAGAGACTCCAAATTCGTTGATTGCAAACTTGAAAGTATTGTTGTAATGCGGAATACATATGCGGGCAGCATGAATGGTTAGTTTGTGGTGTGTTTGGCATTGGCATGGAGTTTGCAAGCGTATGGCCAGCGACCATGAGGTCGGGATAGATCGGTTCCTGTCAATCAACACCCAAAAACTGGAAAATGTGAGATACCCCAATACTACATATACATAAATATAAATTTGCAAGGTGGTCATTATACTCTAATTGATCTTGGTCCAATACATACACATGTTCCAGATGTTGACGCCTCTGTCTTATAGTTAAATGATGCCAAGCTATATTCAATGTCTTATAATTTATTGTATGAAAAAGAAAGAAAATTCAAGTCCATGATATATACCACCAAACAGGTAGTAACATTGACACATGCGGACGGATGGAACGTAAACCAATGGAAAAGCTAACGCCGTAGAGTTGTAGTGTTGTGGTGGCACTGGCACATCAAAAGACCAAGACAAAAAATCCTCACAACGCAAAACAGTGTAAATTCTCACAACAATTATGTAAACAAACAAACAAAATCATGCAAAGACGGTGCCTTCATTATTGAACCCCCTGAAGTGACCTTCTCCTAATTTAATTCCCCTCTCGCTTGCATCTCCCTTTAATTCTTTTGTCTCTCTTCCTTTTTTCTTTCCCTTTTTCTTTGATTCAACTCTCAGTGCATGTTTGCTTCTCCACCCACCAACCATCACTCTGTTAGCACACACATGAACAGAAATGTTTATTACATGGCTCATTTGTTTTGCAAATGTTATTTCTCGTCCTTTTTTGGGTCAAGAAAGCTATATATATATATATATATGGTAGGTAGTGGATATACATGAAGGGGATGACGCGTATAATTATGATTATCAATACTGATTATTTTTAGATAAAAAGACACGACGAGGGAGGTATGTAAGAAGATTATGTGGAGACGTGTTTGAAGGGGAAAGAGAATCACTCTATTAATAAACACACTGTCTGGTCAATTATTGGAAACTTGTTCGATATGATGTCACTCGTCAATCATTATCATTTATATCACCATGCTTTCTTCTTTATTCAGATTTCTCCACTGTTTCATTTTCATCTAGCTGGCCGCCATTCATTCTAACATACACTTGTATAAATATTCAGGCAGCTTTAGCCGTGGCTCTTAACACTGAGACACACACACACGCCCAAAATAATTACCTCCATAAGCAATTGTCTATTTATTGTAATTCAACTATATATATACATGTTTTGCCAGAACAATAGTACAATATAGTGGATTAATGTGAGTTTGGAACGAGTTTGAATCTTCTACATTTCACTGTTTACGTATTTCTTTTTTCTTTTTAATAATTGCTGAATCGTTAATTTTGAAGTGTAAAGCACTCGACATATTGCATTTTTTTCCCGGTTCATCATGTTTGTTGAGAAATTATTTAAGTGCAAATCCTTTAGCATTGAAGACAATCAAGTTAATTAACAAATGTGGTTAGTTTGATTTGACTCCACTGTGGATTATATTCCACAATATGATGTGCTGTCAGTTGTTACAGTGAGGGCAAAATGAGAAAAATATACACAAAAAGGGCGAGTCATTGATTGTTTTCCGGTCTTGTAGTAAATGTGTTGGACCAGGTCAGAGTCAATGGTTTCTGCATATTATAATCACCGCAACCATATCATATTCACATTTAAATACAGCAAAAGCGGTTGAATTTCTTGCGATTATTTGACAATTATTATTTATCCTTTCCGGTAAAGAAAATTTGGAATTCTGGAGTCAATGGCGTAGTCAATTTTCTTGTACCATTCATTATCAATCAGCTAGCTAGCTTCTCTCCTGCTCTGCTTAATTATTATGCGAAACTTTGGCTTGAATTGACTCTTCATATGCATTTTATCACAACTTTCCTAATTAAATCAGTTTCAAGTCATGAGTACCTAGATTAATTAGATCAATTATTTTAATAATCATACATAAGTGGGAAAAAGGGACATGAAAGCAGTCATTATTTTTAGAAAGAATTATTTGAAGATCACACTCAATATAATTAATTTCTCATTCGTCCATTAACAATTAAATTCATACTCTTAAGTTCAGTTATCAATAAACAATTCTCAAGCTTCATGTATATATTACTAAATTTAAGAGCCTGAATTCAAATTTCAATGAACATGAAAGTAATTAATTGTATTAAGTGAGTTTTTATATATAACTCTCTTATTTTTATTATTTGTTAGACAAGGATGTGGTAGATCATCATATAAAGTTTTTAATGAATAAAAGAGGTGATTATTTTTATATATGCTTATTTTAATAATTTGTATGATAATGGAAGTGAAATTTTTACGATGGATGGATGACGATGACACATGGATTGTGGTGAATGTGAAACTGAATTTTCTACACACGACACATAGAATCATAGATGAAGCAAGCAAATCAGGGTGAAGAATATTATGTTGCTATATATGAATATAATATATAAATACAGAGGTCACCCAAAATTACTTTGCAACCAAACGCCCAAATAACGAAACCCCAACAATTGCATTGTTGTCGTTGCATCTCAATCAGCGTCTATCTCCTATATGTACATATAACACATACACATGAAGCTTGATTTTGATTGAAACATACCAACTCGAGGGACCCATCACGTGCTCTCTACTCCCTTCCCCTCAATTTTAGTCAGTCAATTTTCTTCTGCAAGTCACCCACACACACCTCTCTATCACACACACACACACACAACATATATATATACACACACGCGCGCAGAGAGAGAGAGAGAGAGAGAGAGAGAGACTTTGTTATTACTTATTAGGCTTTTGAGTCAACTATCTCCACCTTCCCCTCACCAGTTCTTTTGACTTCTCCACACAGACACCGTCTATATCCTTCCATTTCTCCTCAAAAACCCTCTTCTTAACGCACCCTTAGTATTTATCTCTCGTTCTTTTTCATTCATGTTTTCAGATCACATCAACATATATTTGTTTTCGCATTTAATTCAAATACATATGTTTAAAAGCATATGCACACCTTTTTTCTTTTTTCTTTTTACCAGCGCATATGCATACCTGTTAACTATGTCGGTGGTGATGGTATTTAACTATTTATAGGAGCTAGCTAGGTTTAGTTAAAAAGCAAAGACTATGCAATAATTTTGTGCGTGTTATTCTCTCTCTTGACACACACATACTTGACAATTGAAAATTTTAAATTATTAAAATATTATAAAAGGATCATAGTATTTGTTATATAAGTAAAAGACTCGTATAATTATTTAAATAGCTCTAATTATTAATTCATAAGTGACTTTTTTAAAATTTATTTTTAATTGTAAATAAAAACTAAAATTCTTTCATGATATTTTAACGACTCAGGTCTTCAATTTGTTATTGATACCTTCATAAGGGATATGATTGTCAACTTCCTGAAACCCCTACCACCACAGTCCACAAATAAGAGAACGCAAAATAAGTACTCTGCGAAATTAAAGGCCTGCTCGTTTTTTTATTTTTGAAAATAAAAAAAAATGAAAAACTGTCTGAATAAGGGCTTGTTTTGTTTTTATTTTTTATTTTTAAAACTATTTTACAATACATTTTTTAAAATTATTTTTCAAAGCAGAACAAAAGAAAAATTTGTTTAGTTATGTTAATTTAAAAACAGTTTTAAAATTAAAAAATAGACCGCTAATAATGGTTATAGGTGATTAATTGTGATGATTTTATATAAAAGTTGATATAATTATAATTTTAAATAATTAAATGTAGCGTATTTTAAGAACAAGAACAATAAAAAAATAACTTGAACTTGTTTCTATTTTTGTTTTTAAAAATAAAATATAAAATTAATTTTAAAAATAATTAAATCAAAAACACTAACCCAAACAAGTTTTCAAAAATTTCAGTTTTTAAAAATAAAAAACAAACAGATTTTAGGTGTTTTTTATTTAATGATTTTCAAAATTATTTTTATAAAAAAATATTTTTGTTTTATTTTTCTTGTTTTTAAAATACACCATATTTAATAATTAAAAATTATAGTTTCTTTGACCTATTTGTATTATTAATTACTACCTTTAATTGATTATAACTATCATTATCATTTTGTGTTGTTAAAAAAAAAATTTTAAAAACAGTATTATAAAATAATTTTTAAAAATAAAAAATAAGAACAGAAGCAAACAGGCTCTCAAACTTAAAACAAGCATCACCAAACAAACTACGTATATGCGTGGGTTCCCGTTAACCTCGGGTGCTTTTGGTTCTCCCCAATCATATACGCTCTGCGTACCGTATATATACATCAAGTTGATCAGACTCCCTTACGTGAATTCTCCTCAAAGAAATCATAATCATGCGTACAGTACCCACAAACCCACTGTAATTTCCCTTCTAGTTCTTAGGTAGTATAAAAAAGAGGCCTACCTTCCTCCTCTCCCTCTCCCCATCTCACACGCACGCATTCTCATTTCTCACGACACAACCATGTCTCTCTTCTCTCCCCACTTCCCCTCTCTCCCTCTTCTTCTTCTTCCTCTTCTCCTACTGATCATATCCTTCGCAACCCCATCCTCCTCCGCCTCCTCCGTTGTGGCTTTCATCTTTGGCGGCTGCTCTCGGGCCAAGTTCACGCCGGCCTCTGCCTACGAGTCAGCCGTCAACTCCGTACTCACTTCCATCGTCAACGCCGCCATGTTCTCCTCCTACAACAACCTCACCGTTCCTCTCTCCTCCTCACAGGACACCCCTATCTACGGCCTCTTCCAGTGCCGCGGCGACCTTGCCGCCGCCGACTGCTCCCGCTGTGTCGGCCAGGCCGTCTCCCAGCTCGGCACCCTCTGCCCGGACTCCACTGGCGGAGCCTTGCAGCTCGACGGTTGTTTCGTTAAGTATGATAATTCTAAGTTCTTGGGCGTGGAGGACAAGACTTTGGTCCTGAGGAAATGCGGGCCGTCGCTTGGGTTCACCTCGGACGAGTTGACTCGGAGGGATGCTGTGCTGGTGTATTTGGAGACGTCCGATGGGATGTACAAGACGTTCAGGACGACTAGCTCGGGGGATTTTCAGGGTGTAGCACAGTGCGTAGGGGATTTGAGTGCGACCGAGTGCCAGGATTGTCTATCAAACGCGATCGGACGGCTGAGAGTGGAGTGCGGGCCCGCCCAGTGGGCACAGGTATATTTGGCAAAGTGCTACGCGCGCTACTCCAAAGGTGGGGATTACTCGCCCGGCGGAAACGGTAAGCGGCTCCGCCACCGTGAATAGTGGTGGTTCATAGTATCTGTTATTATGTTTTTGCTTTGATATTATTATTATTTTCTCTATAAAGTTTTCGAATGATTGGGAGAACTGAGAATAGAGTTGCTTGAATAATTTTCAATTTACGTGTCAACCCACGTGCATACGGACGAAAGCCGGTGGCCGGTGGGGAGAAGAATGTCAATGGTATTTGGCAGTAACATGACTGACAAGTTTGAATCATTCAGGATACCTTTTTTCTTTTTGTTGGAAATATATTTTGATAACTTCTGATTTTGGACGACCCATTTAATTGTGTTTACTTGCAATATTTATCTTTAAGTTTTTTTCGCCCTGTCTAGAAGGTCTGTTTTTGAGTTTACTGTCTAAAAAATCATTCTTCACGGTTCATAATCATACCCTCAAATGAGGGGAAAGAAAGAATAATGATACAATATTAAAGAAAAGGGGCATGATTTGATTTTCTTGATCTGCTCTAGGGAGTCATGAATTTTGATTGTGCCTTTTAATTTATGAACATTATTTTGAGTGTCAAAAGTAGGTAATTGAACTTTATAAGTAGCGGGAAAAAGCAAACATGAATATCTTACAGACAGCATCACATAAATATATGTGAAGAATCCGATGAATGAAAGTAAACAATCAAACATCGAATGAGCAGGAATGACAGCACCATTCCTCCTAATTCATAGAAAGCAAAAAAAAAAAAATAATGAATGGGCCACTTTTGCCCACAACACAACAAGGTAGGTATTTTGGTACAGAGAATCCTCATCATCTGCAATGTCGTCTTTTCCTTTAAAGAAAAAATGTCTTAGGCCTTTGGCAGAACTATAGGTTTGGACATGAATTAATTAACCTGCACGTTCAAGTGATTAGGTGAATTATATTTGAGCATATATGATGTGTAATTGTAAAGATGTTATCTGAAAAATCTAAAGAATGGACTGTAATGTGTAGGTGAGCATAAAAACAAGAACGACGATGAGCTTCAGAAAACTCTGGCAATTATAGTTGGACTCATCGCAGGAGTGGCTCTACTAATCATATTCATTTCATTCTTGACAAAGCTGTTCAAAAAGGATAGAGGTAACTGTTATGTCATATAACACCCATTTTGTTTGTTTATTTAGTTCTCTAATTAAAGATTTGATTCGTCTCTTGTTGCAGATGGAAAATGAAGAACATCTTGTGTGGATAATTAACACTGGTCTTGTAGTGCTTCCTCTGGTAATTTATTTTTCTTGTTGGTGTCTTGTGTTTTGTGGGATAGCTGGGACATGAAAAATGCCCGTGAAGGTCGGATAAGTAATAAAGTAATAGAAAGATGTGTAATGGAAAATAAAGGAGAAAGAAAAGAGAAGTTTATTGGAGCAAGAGAAAGGGGGAAAGGAAGAAAGCGATGGGCGCAATAAAGAGGCAGAAAAGGCTCAAAGATCCAAAATCCACTTTGGCAATTTTCAAATGTCAAGTGATGGGTATAGGCTTTTCTGGGCATAATTTGTAGATCAAGTTTTTCCTCTTTACTTTTGGAACATGAAATCAACCACTTTGCTTATCCAAAAAGTTAGCATCATATTAATAAGAATGTATAATTTTTTTTCCTTGGTCCCGAATTAAGTATGCGACTCATATATTTAGCCTGCTTATTCAATCTATATAATTGTTTATACTTTTTTTTTTTGTTGGCTTCTTTGTTTTCGGGATCATGTGGATGATACGAATTCTTTTTAATGGAAGATGAATTCATTATTTTTTTTATATTTGATAGAGTAAGAATAGTGCAATAATAAAATTTTATTTAGTTACATTAAGGCTTCTCTTGAATGAAAAGTCAGGAAATATTTCATTAATTAACGTAAAATAATGAAAAATTATAATTCAAATTTCCAAATTTAAAAACTTATAATTTTGTTCTCCATGGCATTGAGACTTCAACTTTGTTATATTATTTTTAACCTCTATAATTTAGTCCATATATAATTTATCAAGTTTTATTTTTAACTTTTATAATTTTTTTTTCAGTGTTTTCAGTTCCTATAAAAACTAAAATTACTGAAAATGAAAACTACAGAAATATGAAAAACAAAGATTGTTCAATGTTTTTAAAACTATAGATATTGAAAATGCTGAAAATAAGCTACAATAAAAAATAAAATTTAATGAAACTATGGCTACCAAATATTATGTTTTTCTAATAAAAAAGTGCAAAATCTGAGTTTTAAAAAAGCAACGTCATTTAATTTAATTAAAAAAAATCGACCACCGCACTTTTGAGTTTTGACCAAAAGATGCGGCTCGAAGGATAAATATTGTGGTGGTCATCATCAAGAAAAGGCAGCATTAAGTTAAACAGATGAGGTGTCAATTAATCATGCAAATCATGGTCGAGGAAGCCATCATTACTTGATTATATATAATATATATAGGAGAAAGGAGAGAGCGTCGTTAGTTTAAAAGGACGAATCATCAATTGGATACTTAAACAAGGTACCAATTATTATAGGACCGAGCTAAATAATTATAATGGAGATGAAATCCCTGGAATCTTCTCGTTTTATTTTCTCTCTCTTCTCAAATCATGCTTGATTTTTGCATTTTATCTATGAGCTCTTGTTCTGTCCCAGTGTATCAAATTGGCAATGCCACGTCTTTTTAAAAATTATATAATAATCCCCTTAACTAAGCTTGATCAATCAACCACTGTGGACAAGAAATAATAATTGTTTTATATTTCTTAATTTGTTTAATCAAAAGTGTTCCGCAGATCTAATATTGTATATGTTCATATGGAACAGTATGTATGTAATATATGGCGACATTTGGTAATGAGTTATCATCATTAGGTTGAACTGCGTACTCAGAAAGATCAAAATGAAGAGCAGAGTGTCATATATATATCAAACTTAATTTTGTTTATGAGGTAATGGGCAAAAGGGGGCTCATTTATTTAATCCCACCCTACTTTTAAACCAACTAAAGCGATTCTTATGAGCAACATCACAACTTATTCTTTTTTGAATATCTAAGAGAACGATCGTCCGATTCCAAAAAGGGAATATCTCATAAGCAATACAGGATGTAGCAAGCCATAACGGAGAGATGTTGTGAGCAATATCACAGCTTTTTTTGAAGTCTATAGGATGGTGTGAAAGAATAGATGAAGCCAGGTCTTCGACCGCAATTTTCATATCAAAGTTGACATCACCCTTTTCGAGATGCGTAGCTTAAGAAAATTAATAGAAGGATTGTAGAACAATATCATCTCAGAGTTATTATGTCAGATGAAAACAGTATTGTATAAGATGGGTTACAATCAACATAGATAGCTTAGTGAAACATACAGGAGGGAGATCACTTGTGAGGGATGAATTCGAGATGAGAATGGGTTTTGGAAAAGCAATTTCATGAAAATGTTATGGTTTAGTTTTACACTTAGTTATAAGTGCTAACACATACTATCTCTTAAGAACATATAGGGGACTACAGCTCTGTTGTAGATTTATTAAAAAAATCTAGTTACTCTAACGACGCACCTAGACTCATAAAGAAAATATACAATGTGAGACACTTTTTTTTTTTTCAATTTTTTTGAAAGAAGCTAGAGACCTTAATTATGAGTGATTAGTTGGTCTTCTATAAGTATATGATTACAAAAGTCAACTGATGTATAAAGGGAAAAACTCTATAGCTGACTGTTTAATTAAGTTAACCTTTACTCTCACAACTTTATGAAAGAATTTGTCATTTTTTTATTACCCACCTCTTACAAAGAGAGAGAGAGAGAGAGTAGTCAATATACTCATAGAAAATGTACTAGTGAAAAAATTGATATACCAACAACTTGCCCCAACATGCTTATGAGATAAATGCAAATTTCATGGTTTTATCCCAATCCACCTCAAATTTAAAAGATCTCATGAGCTATTATTCAGATTATGAGTTAAAAAAAGCAAGAATTGAGACTGGCTCATCATTCTTTCTCTATCACTCTATCCACATACTTATAGATTTGTTGTATATATAGATATATATATATATATATACACACACACATACGGAAAGAGAAAGATAGGGGTTTTTACATGTGTCAAATATATGTATATTTAAACCATTATATATTTATTTTGAACATATAAAGTATAAGTTACTCAGGCCACAAAAGGGGAAAACGTGCAACATATACAATTAATTGTTCACATGTATGGTCAAAGGTCAATAGGCTAAGCTTTGGGCCTTTCCCTTCCAAAATGAAAAAGTCCAAGCAATAACGGGCCAAATTCATTTCCCTGCGTACGCATTGTTTGGGCTAATTTTCCAAGTGGGTCCAATCCTCTATCAAGATTTATTTCCCCTTTTTGAAGAGGAGTTAAAATTTATGTGACTCGCAAAGGGTCATTGCCTCACCATGCAAAGCGTGTGATAATTTTTTCTTCCAGCCGAAGCCTGCCTGTGATGATAGTGAGACCAAGTTATATGAGAATTTAGTATCCCAACGATGTTCGAATAATATTGTTTTCAATAGAAAAATATACATGAACAATAAAAAAAGTTACATTATAATTTCTTTTTGAAGATAAAGAAAATGAAAATGGATATTCAACACGGGTTGAATATGGTGAAATAGGTTAATTTCTCATAAATGAGGAATCAGTGTTTGAATTTTCGTTAAAAAAAAAGCTTATATTTAATATCATAAGGTAGCATGAACATGATTATCTTTATTAAAACAAGAGTTGTACCAAATAGAAAAATTGAAAATGAATTTGTTTACAGAAAGATGGAAATAGATTTCGAGTTGAGTTCTTTGATGACATTATATATATATATATATCATCAAAAGAAACATCTACAGAGAGAGATTTCTGAGTTGAGTTGTTTGAGTCTGCCACGTGTAGTGCCACTTGTCGTTTGACGCAAAAGTTTTGCTCTCCTCTAAAATCCCCATCCTCATTCCTTAGGACAACTTGTCTCCTAAGAAAAGCGTTATTCCCCTTCCCACGAAATCAAATCGTCGTTTCCACCGAAAACCGTCGCCGCCTCACAGATCTGTTGGAGAGACCATAGATTAGTGTTCCCATGGCGCTCGAATGGGTTGTGCTAGGATATGCCGCCGCCGCCGAGGCCATCATGGTGCTCCTCCTCACCGTTCCTGGCCTCGACGGTCTCCGCAAGGGCTTGATCGCCGTCACCCGAAATTTGCTCAAGCCCTTCCTCTCCGTCGTCCCGTTTTGCCTCTTCTTGCTTATGGATATCTACTGGAAGTACGAGACTCGCCCCAGTTGCGAGGCTGACTCCTGCACCCCGACGGAGTACCTGCGACATCAGAAGTCCATCATGAAGAGCCAGCGCAATGCCCTCCTCATTGCCGCCGCCTTGCTCTTCTATTGGCTTCTCTACTCCGTCACCAATCTGGTTGTTAGGATCGAGCAGCTGAATCAGCGGGTCGAGCGCTTGAAGAATCGGGATTGAGTCCCCTCATGATTGGGAATTAATGAGTCAATCAGGGTTTGCAGAGTATAACTCTTGTTTCGTGTGTTATATAAGATGCGATTTCTTTCAATTTCTGTGTTCCTTTTCCTTTCAATTTTCGAATTTTGACTGCTATTGTGTCGATGGTAGTTTTGCCTGTTGAACATTCTCTTTTTGGTTGATTATCCTGGTCAATACGATATGATGGAAACTTCGTAAGGGCCTTATCTTTTGATTCGCATCAATGGATGTTGATACAGTTTATTCTGGAAATTCACGACCCACAGATGCGTTTTAAAATGTAGATTTTCTGACATACATTCTGTCTTCGTTACGGTCCGTTCGTTCTTTGTTTATGAAATAATTTTTATTATGCACTCCATCGCTCAAAAAATTGCGATTTTTATTAATGTTAACTCATAATTGTAATGCACGCGTAAAACTCAGCCTTAAGGAAAAGCCAATACTTGCTGAAGAAGTTGTTCCTCCTTTCTTTCTCCCATGTATATATAATATGTAAGTTCATCGTGCCTTTGCGTTCAGCTATGCACACGTACACCTGCTGGAGCACAGGAATAGGCCTTGCCAAGTTGTATGCTACTATATGCGATAAGACAGCTGCCTTGCGAGATGCCTTTGGTAGGCGTTGGTCTGAATTGGATCCTCAGCTTGTACCTTCTAATTTAGGTGGCTCATCCATTTTACCTTTTGCATCACTCCCTTGTTTGATATGTTGGTTGGCAAGTGCCAGTTTGATAGATGAATCTTCTTGTGATAATGTGGTTAATCTTTGAATGAATGGCCAGTTGCTCACATACTGGTGGGTTCATGAGAGATGGCTCATACAGTATTGTAAATCAATTATAGTCTGTTGAAGCTTGAAATGTGCCCTGTTGCTGAGAGTCATCATATCCCAAGCTTATCTGTGGAATTTGAGTAGTTTCTTGGACACGTGGACATACAGAGTGAGATATCGGTCTTGGTCTTTCGGGTTCAACCAGAAAAGCATTTCGGCAATTTGATATATCTTTTCCTGAAGTAGTTGATTTGCGACCTTGGTCTTGTGGTCTTGTGTTAGGCCTCTCTGTATTAATGTTAGAGTCTGTAAAAAGGGATGAAGAATGTTCTTCTGTTATTTAATTGGATGGCAGTCATTTAGTTCATGATATAATTATATTATTATAATAGCTCAGAGCAGCTCGGGTACAAAGTTTCAGAAGATTGGTGGGATTATATATATTCAGCTAAGAAACCTAAGGATTACAGTTTAACTTTGATGTGGGGACGTTAAAACGAGGTCTTGAGAGGTTGTGTTGCCTCTTCAGTTGGATGTAGGTTTTGTAACATTGGTTCTAATCTAGTTCATTGGATTTTTGTGGTATCGAGTTGCCTAGGCTTCCTGGCTTTGTTCAAGTTTTAAGCTATCGGGCTCCAGTCGTGACTTTGGTTCTCGCATGATTCTGCTTTTTTTTTCCCCCTTTCACACCTGGTATCTTAAAATATTCTGGGTTCATTGTTCACCCTAGATAAGTTTGAACCCCCGTTTTGTAGACCTTACAGCAGCAAACAGGTATTAATAGGACGATCTTTTTGTGGTCATATTAATTATCGCTTTCTGTCACCCATAAAGATTCGAACCTTCAGCCTTGAGAGTGCTGGTTGCATGATTCTGCTTTGATCCTCGATTAATCTTAACATCCAGTCATTCTGTCTTTGGACGAAATCTAGTCTTTCTTAGTACTGTATCCGTACTTCAGACGTGGTCCCAAAAGAAAAAGCGGTTGTCAGAAGTGATGGTTGAATATTGAACAGTATCATGTGTGGATTATTTCCCACAGTCAAACTATAATTTGGTTTCTCTGCAGAGCTTATTGTCTGTGAGATCATTTGTAAATTAATGTCTCTAAATCAGCGGGTCTCTCTGTATATACAAGTTGCTATAGGTACATGGTTATTTGTTCTCCTCAACGAGAATACATTTATTGCTGTGACTTTAAGTTAAAGATATTATAACAATTATCCGTTATATCAAAGTTGCACTAGCATAGGGTGAGAAAAAGGAGAGGAGGAATATGATCCAAGTAATTCAGTATCAAATATTAACCCACGTCTCCTGAGAAGCAAAATAATTATGAATGTCTTACCTAAAAAAAAAATTATGAATGTAAAATTAACATCACAGTATATTTATCAATAATAGAGAAAACTTTGATCAAACATTTTTTTTTTTGGGTAAAATATTTTGATCAAACATCTTTGACGAAAATTCCGATGAATTAGCAAGGGGCATCTGCTTGGAGTTGGCGAGCATATTACGGTTGATGAATTGAAGGCCTCTCTGATCAATGGCTTCCGTGTCAAAAAGATCCTTTTGAATCAATACTTTTTATCAGAGCATACGAAGAGTAGCGGGTTTATTGGAATTGAAAAGAGGCTTTACTGTTTGTTTGAATTTTAGTTAGATACAATAAATTATAAAAATAATTGATTAAATAATATATTTTAATTATAATTGATTGCATACTGTTTTTTAAAAATTAATTTTAACAGAATTGAAGATATTTAGATAATTTATTCAGAATCAATTTTAACTGTATATGTGAACACCGTATTTTGTCCAGGCATTTTTTTAGGATTATATTTTTTTAAAATTATATAATATAATTTAATAAAAAAGAGGTTAAATCTTAAAAATATTGAGAATCAACTTTTGAGGATTAAATGTTTTTAAATTTCTCTCCTTAAATCTAATGTTTTTCATTTAAAATATGTATTTTAAAATTAGATTTTTCCCTCTCCCTTAATTTGATTGACAAAAAAAAGGGGAGCATTAAAATCAAAAAAATAAAAATAGGGCACTCAGCCCAAGATTATTGTCGGCTAGCAAAGAAAATGCATGCACCCCATTCTTTTCTTCTCCTCCTTTGAAATTCAAATGTTCAAAGAGTCAAGGAGATCGATCTTCTCTCTCCTCATTTTTATAGCATTCATCCTGGTTACTGTCAACGACGTGAGCAGTGCTGGACGTTCTTCCATCCTTATAGGAATCCAGCTCTCGTTGCAGAAAAAGCAAAGGAAGCAGAGCAGAGACGCATGCAAGAAATAGAAGAAGCAGAAGCAGAAACACGCAAGAACAACAAAAAGCAGATAGCAAAAAGAAAAGAAAACAAAAGGTAGAGCAGACACATTCTGGAGAGCATGCACACGTGAAACACACAAAAATGAAGCAACTCTAAAAAGACTCATACACATTGAAGAAAAGATAGAGATACACACTGTAGAAAAAAAAAAAGCAAAAGCAGAGCAAAAATGCAACATGCACACAAGAAGAAGATCCCGAGCTTCAGTGATAAAGAGCAGGAGAAACAGCATAAAAGAAGATGAGAGAGAGACCGAGAAAGAAGAATAGAGGCAGAGGAGAGAGTCCGAGAGAGGATGGAGAATGAGAAGGAGATGAAGAGTGAGAGATGAGAGAGAGACCGAGAAAGAAGAACAGAGGCAGAGGAGAGAGTCCGAGAGAGGATGGAGAATGAGAAGGAGACGGAGAGTGAAAGATGAGGAGGAAACCAGGAAGAACAGAGCATGAAGGAAACACCGCATGCATGAGAAAAAAAGAAAGTCTTGAGAGAAAAGGAGAAGAGAAAAACGAACAAGAGAGAAAAAAAAGGACAGAAAATAGAGTAGAAAGAGTGAGAATAAGAGAGCACAAGGAGAAAAAAAGCAAAGGACGCCGGTCATGGGACCTTTGGCCAGACGAGAAAAAACTGGAGGAAGGAGAGAAGAGGAAGACTGTGGAAGACAAGAAAAAACAGAGCACATAGAATCAACGCAGAGGAGACTGAAATCAGAAGCAAAAACAGAGCTAGAGACGAGAGAGAGAATGAGCAACAACACAGGAAAGCTCATGCACGTAACTGGAGCTTCTGGCTATATTGCTTCATGTTGCATTTAACGAAGAGCCTAGAACTCTGAGCTAGTTGTTGATGAGACATGGTTTTCAGATCTAGATTTTTGTAAGGCATCTAAGCTGTGCAATGGTGATAGGACCACTCTTGCAACCAACACTTCATACAAGTACGCTACAACTCCAAAATGTAGTCAATGACAGTTAACTCAAGTAATATTTAAATTATGTCATCTCTCTTAATTCGGATTCATTGATGAACATATATTTATTGATAGATGTCAAGGGTGTGGACTGGTCCAGATATGTTTAGGCACTACTCCAGGTGTATGTTTAGGCATTTAAAAATTTAAGAATTAAATATTTTTTTAATAGAATTTAGAACATACATGAGAGGTGTTTGACAAAAAAAATAAAAAAAGGAGAGCTTGTGAAAATATTGATAATTTGTGAGGTTGATTGGGGTTTGAAGCCGTATCTATCGTGGTTATGATCTTACTAAAAGTTTATGCCAAATCTAATTTTTTAGAATATATCCTCAAGTCGAAAGAATAACGAATTATCAAATTAATTTATTTTTTCCATTGCCTTTATCGCATAAATTGTTTAGCCAACCATAATATTATGTGCCAATTGCAAATACAAATATTTCGGTTATCTAGTTGTCGTGTGAGATTTTAAGAATCTCCGTAGGCATTTAGAATGATTTCATACCATGTAAATCAATAAGATTTTGCAGGTATGAAGATCAATTTTGTAGGTATTTATATGGGTTCCAAAAGCCTATTATTAAAATTAATTCTCTCTTTATAATAAATATTTAAGTCTCATGTGAGATTTCAAGAATTTCGTAAAGACTTAAATTAATCACCTTATCATGTGGGATAATAAGTCTTCACAGATATAGTGATTATTAATTTTTATAATAAATAAATAATTTTTGTAAATAATCATATAATATACAATTTAAGAAACTTAATTAACCAAATTAATGTATTTAAATTGTAACCATATTTATCGATTATATCTTTTAGTCATGTGAGATTTTTGAATTTCCATAGGCTTCTAAGATCATCGTATTATCGTATGAGTTAACAAGACTCTACAGATATAACGATTTAGTTTTTAAAATATATATATATATATACATATATATTATATAACGATTTAATTCCTCTATTATGTGAGATTTTAGAATCTCCGCAAATATTTCGGATAAATCATATTACCGTATAAACCAATAAGGGTATACATGTATGATGATTAAAATTCTTTAAAAACATATATACATGCTTAAGCAAACTATTATTAACATTTAAAAATAAATAAATTAAATTGCTAAATTCTTTTATCATGTGAGGTTTCGGAA